ACATGTTCATGTGTACAGAGTACATGTACCTGTATGTAAGCATGTATTTAAAAGTAAATGTACATGTACGTGTACTTTTTACATGCACATTGTGCCATAGTTGGTCATGGGTTGTCATCTGTCTAGTAAAAAGTTCAACTACATGTACTGGTGGTTGTGTATTATAATAAAATGTGTTTTTCTAAAATGGTACATTGTAAATTAAATTACATATGGTGTTAATGTGAAATTACATGTACATGTACATGCAAGTGCTCCATGCTTCTTGTAATTTTTATACGCTTGCCTTTTATTCACAAATACATGTATGAGAAGGGAGTTTATAAAAGAGAAAAGTGATCACAAAAACATTGACATACTGTACAGGTACATGTACTGTACTGTATATGTACATGTAAATGTAGGCCCTATACTTTTGAAAAAGCAACTAATACATTACCAATAGTTACAAAATTTGGCAGACTGGTTGTAAATTCGAACAAGTGTTCTCTGAAATACAGGTACACTGTACATAGTGACATACATGTACATGTATATTTACGTATTACAATATGTAATGTTAAAGGCAGTTTTGGGTTTAAATAAGAAAACCGTGCAAATGTACATGTATGTTTACATGAGCCTGTTTTTTCAATTGCTCAGGTTGATGGATGGTTTACAGAGGGCCAGTACCGAGTCTGTGCAGGACCCAGAACTCTACCTGTCCCATCCAGTCAACGCATTGCTATTGGTCAAGAGATTTCTCTGGGAATGGTCCGATTTGGAAAACATCATCCGGTTGGATGTGCCCAAAACAAGTATGCTTTTTTTTCAATGTGAATAAAATAGAAGTTGGACTCAGGTGCAGATCCAAGGGGTTGGGTGTTTAGGGGGTTGAACCCCCCCTCTCTCATTCTGAGACAAAAAAGGGGGGAGGGGAATGGGGAACCTAAAGTAAATGCACCACCAATACTATCACATAAAAAGTATGGCGTGTATAATGTTTCATCATCATTTCTGCTTGTCCACTAAAATTAGACATTGAAATAAATCTCTGGCCTGACCCCCCAGCCCTGACAAAATTTCAGGATCCACCATGGGGCTATTCCATGTTCAAAGTATTGGAAGCAACTGTCCATTCATTAGCATATGTACTGGTAGAAGTAGTAAAACTTGAATGCAGGTTGTTAGGTTGAGCTTTCATGTGAGCATTGTGCGACTTTGTTTCAGTTTTGAAAAGGTCACAGGAAGACTGAGAGCAAAAGGTCTAAGAAGTCTGGTGTGATAGTTTTTTTTTTTTTTCATAGATTACCTTGTGAACATTTCCCAATATCGTGACTACTTTCCTGCCAACGAAGACTTGAAGGGTGCAGGGGCAGCTTTACTACGCCTTCAGGACACTTATAAACTGGACACTAAGGCTATTGCTGATGGAAATATAGAGGGAACTTGGAAGTCTCCTTCACTCACTGGTATGTACTTGTCGAGAACAACGTTGGAATTCCAAATAATATGACATACATGTACAGGTCCACTTCCCGAAAAATGCCCCAAGCATCAAGGGGGGGCGGTTCTGTCCCAATTTCATGAAACTGCTAGTACATGTGCATGGGTTGAATATACCGCTTACCAGGTTTAGTTGTTCAGAAAAAAAAGGAGCAGGGAACCAGTCATAAAATACACGTATACATGTGCATACTGCATGACACGTACCTCTAATTGGGTGGTAACCCTTTTGTGTCCTGCAAAAATAGCATTGCTCAGCAACTGTCCCCGCCACTCAGTAACACTGACACATGTCGTTTTGTGATATTGTTAGATTTAAAGTGCACAACATTACACAGGCAGGTGACACATTTAGCGCCAGGATCAAAAAATCCACAAGCTTGAACATGCGATGTGCATTCTTTAAAAGAATCAAAATACCAAAAACATGGTTAGATCAGGTGGGAAAAGGGCCAACTCACTCTACAAACCTTGCTATGTGTATTTACAATTTTGTTATACCTACATGTACATGTACATATTCATGTATTACTACATGTAGTTCATTTTAACCTTCAGGAATTTCAGCCAGATATGATCATGATGACGAACATCTAAAAATACACATATGCTTAGCCTAAATTGCAAGACAAAATTTGCCAGTAGTTGCACCAGGAGGCTGTAAAGTGCACCACAGAGCATCTTTATTTCAAAATTTTCCTGTGCCCCGGACCCCACTTGCTTCGTGCTCACCATTTCAGCTATTCTCAAGTTATTTTTTTAAGTTCCGCTTACACCCCTGGTTAGTGTACCATACGTGTACCTGACTTGAAAAGCTTTGTAAGTATATGACTGACAGTCCCCCAAAAATGCCTTTGGCAATTCTTGGGTTGTGAACACAAAGTAACCACCCAGTGATATGGCTGATAAAAGGTGGTGTTCTAATAGGATTAGTCACTGTGACTTTTACTGTGATTGAAGTAGAGGTGCCTTTCACTTGCACCAACTGGACAACGAATAATGACAATAATAGTACTTGTAAAAGTGCATCCAGTTTCCCATGGTACATGTACAAAATTGGCCTTATTGTCCAATGTGAAATTACACACATATGTTTTGATTTCAAAACAAGGACTTATTCACCATGAAAAATGTGAAGTGTACTGTTAAGGAGATTAAAAAAGACAGATTGTGTTAGGCTACTGCAGTAATGAATCACTATGAGGATTCAGTTGTGCAGAGAAAGTAAAAAAAAAGGTAGACCCTTAAACAGGGCCCTACATGTACTCCTTCATTGATACATGTACTGGGCCCTGTCTCGATTTATAGTATTTTCCTTTGATCAAGTTTTTCCGGGATGGCTGGGGATATTACCAGACATTGGCTGGATCTTATGAGCTGAAATTGTACTGTTGTGTTCACTACTTACGCTGCTAACTGTCCCCCAAATTGCTTGTATTTGCAGAAAATTGGCCTTTTCCTCAATTGGAGGAGTTTCAGGCCATGTAAAGAATACTGTACTAGGGAAATCATGAGAAACCCTCAAGATTTTCAGCCACTCAGTGTCTGTTTCATCAACAGTGTTCTCATTGAGGGGTTTTAGTAAGGGAGGCTGCACTGCCAAAATTTTTATCCCGCTAAAGTTTTCCACCCTTCTGAAAATTTCACCACCCTTCTATTTTTTTTACATTGGAGAATTTCCTGGGGCCAGCACACTACGCTGTGTAGGCTTTGCATTCTGCACTTGCATTCATATGTCAACTGCCGTGCTAAATTTAAGGCCTTGGAGAAACTGATCATCGGGATACCCAAAATGAGTGATACATCAAAACAGAGCTTTACTGACTCTTCCTAATGCAAACTGAAACAAAAGATTGGAAAATGGCCTCACATGCACACTTATGCATGTCTCATTTTCACAGAATGGGTCACAAATATGACATTTTGTAATATTATACAGTACATTTATGTGTACCATGACAATGATTTATTGAATTTTATTCCTTTGCATCTACCTGTACTGTACTGCACATACAGTACATGTCGATGGTAGAGAAGTTGAGTGACAACCCCAAAGTCTAAAATCAACAGATTTGTTTTGGCGCCTTACATACATACATGTACACTGTACATGTACCAAATGGTTGAGTAAACAATTCTTTCTGTTGGACATTAATTACAGTTCAGCAATTCCTTTCATTATCAATTTGAGATTTGCCTTCAAAGGGTCATTGTCCCTGTCTGGTGATGTTTGTTTGCCTTGAGTTTTTTTTCCCTGGGAAAATCCGTTAAAACAACATCCACTCTTAAAGTAGTGGAACAAAAGGAAAAGTAAAGCTTGCCTGTTATACCACTGTACAGGTATATGGATAGGTTATAAGCAGACGAGAAATAAAAAAACCCCACCATACACCATGCAGTTCTGTGTGACTACACGCCTCAGCCAAATTTATTAAATGCAGATTTCTCATATTTGTTCCTAGTCCTCATGGTTGAGGATTGTACAACTGTGTATCACAGTTAACTTTATTTTTACAACAAAGCCCCTGCATAGTGTGGGCACCAAAAGCCCACAAGCACCATCAGCTCTGAGCACCAAAAGCTCACTGAGCACCACAGCTCAATGCAAATGGGGGCAGCCTACAGGGCTAAATGTGTATACCGTCAACTCGTTAATACACGATTATCATAAATGTAAACTTGTTACATTTTGGGCTGGCGATATTTTACCGAACCAATTATCCTTTCAAATAAAACAAAATCACTATTGAATAGAGAGTGTGCCAGAATACATCATAGAAAACCTGTGTACATCAGATGAACATGTGACACTATTTGCAGGCACTGTTCTTATCCAACGTTTGAACATACAGAAGGAAAGAACGGTTCTTCTCCCCTGTTGCACTACTCAGGGGAAAAGTTGTCGCCTGTAACAAAATGAGAAATGCCTTCTTCAAACTCTTAGTTAATTTACTCTGGCCAAATTAAAGTTAATGAGGCATTACTAATGGGCTGGTTTATTCCACATACATGTACATGGGAGAACGCTTGAATAATCTGGGCAAGGACAGGCAATGAGACTGGCAAGCGTATGTCAGCAGATCTCCGCTCCCTGCGGCAACCTTCCATTAGTTTTGATACCAGATAGTCTTTAGTAGGATCTGTCCATCCTTTAATTTTATGGTAGTATCCCACCCCAGAAATGTAAGAAGTGATTGTTGCCAGTGCGAAATTCTTCAAAGATAACCATGCCACAAATTCCCTTATTTCAGAAGTGATTGTTGCCAGTGCAAAATTCTTCAAAGATAACCATGCCACAAATTCCCTTATTTCAAAAGCAGAATCCGGCAAACCCCTTTTTAGCCGAACTTAAACTCCAGAAAAGCATTCCAGCGTTCTGGAAATGGGACAAAGTGTCTGCAATGTCATTGGTTGCCCCAAGCATGTGAACTGCCTTAAACTGGATATCAAATATTAAACAATCCAGGAGAAAGAGTTTAACTAGATGCATAATCTTCTCACATTGAGAGGTGTGACCATTAATTATGAGAAGTACCGCCATGATGTCACAGTAAAATAACACCTGTTGGTTTGCTAGTGATTGTCCCCAGCATTTGATTGCCACCATGATCGGGTAAAATTCCAAGAATGCCATGGGGGGAGGGGGTCTTTGACAATCTCAGGCGGCCACCTGACTTGAAACCAGTTATCACCCAAACATGCCTGGAAACCAATGCACGCTGCTGCATCCGTGTACAAGGTCAGTGACTCATTTGAGAGCCATTCCTGTGCCTCAAAGGCTGACACCCCGTTATAATGGCTTAGAAATGTAATCCACATCATAAGGTCTGTTTTGGCCCCTTTGGTTAGCCAAATTTTGTGATGCAGCCGCATGGATTCCTCGGGTCAATGCAATGAAACAACCCATGAAAGCACGACGTGGTGCAGTTGCTTTGCAGATGAAATTAAGGGATCCAATTAAGGACTGCATCTCAACTAGCGTAACTTTGCTTTTGCATAGCGTCATGTGCAGCTTGTCCTGTAGAGCATGCACCTTGGCAAGGGGGACACGGACTTGTCTGCGCTTTGTGTCAATTTCAAGACCCAAGTATGTTATCTGCTGAAGGGGGCCTTCTGTTTTTTTTGTGCAATTGGCACACCCAACGCTGCACAAAGCGAATCAAAGACGCCTACAAGTGTGGCACATGAAACTGAACTTGGCCCTATGAAAAGGAAATCATCCAGATAGTGGGTGACTAGTGGGCTATCTCCCTCACTTTAAATTCTAAAAATGTGCTGAATTTTCAAAAAGGGAGCAGGAAATGGAACAGCCCATCGGCCCTTGTCATAATAGTATTTGCCATCAAGAGTAAAACCCAACAAATCATAATCCTTACGGGAAACAGGAAGCAACCGAAAGGTGGATTTGATGTCAGATTTTGCTAGCTATGCCCCAGGTCCGACTTGCATGGCCAAATCGACTGCCTCATCAAATGGTGCATAATTAACTGTGCTTGCGACTTTGTCAATGAAGTCATTTATAGACTCCCCAAAGGGAAAAGAGAGATGATGAATGAGGCGCCATGAATTTGGCTCATGCTTAGGTACTAGCCCAATAGGGGAGCATTGCAAGGTGGAGAAAGGAGGAACTTCAAATGCACCAGCAATTCTATTCAAGCTAATTTCTTTTGCACGTTCCTCCTTCACCACGTCTGGTCTGGCTGCTGCAGATAAAAGGCAGTCAGCTTGACGGCTACATCTAGGGCCATTGTATTGCAAAGCAAAACCAGATAAAAACCCCGTCTCTAAAATAGCAGCATCTTCCCTATTTGGATAACCCTTCAGCCACTTCTGCAGAACACAAGTGTGAATTGGTGTTGGGGGGACGAAAAGAAGTTGAACCCGTAAAGGGTACTTTGGACCCTTCACCTGATGTACCTTGGCTTGGCCCTGTTTGCGCGTGTTTTGATCTGTGTCACCTGATGCAGATTTTCTTGGTTAGCCATCTTTGCGCCACCAGTGTGGAGTTCCTGAATGCAACGCAGCACCTACTCTACATGTGTAAGCGCCATGGCCAGGGCGGGAACATCGACTACATTTGTGTGAGTATTTGCAGGTGCGGAAATGGCAGTCATACATCCCGTTGAATGCAAAACACACCCCCTTTGATGACATGTTAGAAACCTTATCATTAGGTAGGCGCTGCAATGTGTGTGTTCCACCACGGAGGAGACTGTTAGCTGCAGCAACAGTCAGCCATAACTCAGTATCAGTTGCCCCCCATGACCGAGATGGATCGTGTTCTTGGCAAAGACAGAATTGTTCATCATAATTTTGCCAACAGAAAACCTGGAAACTGATGGGCTGCCTGACGCACCGTTTCTGCATACTTAAGTAGCTCAGTTGTACGATTAGAATGACACACCACATAGATCGCCATGAAAGTATTGAAGATGCCAGATGCCCACTTATCTACAGAATCAAGTTTCATGTTATGTATGAAAGAGGCCTTACAGACAACCATTTGGTTGCCCTCGACCACCAGTTTGAATCCATTGTCATCGGTTTTACTGAGGACAGCTGCACCTACATGTACATCATTATACAGAAGAGCAAAATCTATATAAGAACTGTTCCATATCTTTTCCTTAGTTGAAAGTGGTACGTGATACCCTAGAGGGGTGGAAGAACCAAGTAGCAAAGGTGGGGTTGGGGCTCCCACATTTGTCACAGTGTCTGACACGCTCAAAGTTGGGCTAGTACTACTAGGCTTTTTGGCACTGGTGAAACCAGGACCATTAGTAATAGGTACTGAAGTACATTTACTGCTACATGTTCCACTGTGAGAGTCCTCCTTCCGTAGGATAAACTGTCCTCCGGCTGGAGCTGTTGCAGGCTCCATCGGTTCCGGGGCTACTGGCTGCCCTGTGGAGGGTTTCCGGCTTTGTTTCCATTTCCTTGGAGTGTAGTAGGCATGTCAGGGGGACTATCACAGAATTTTGCTGGAGGCGAAGCCTACCGCTTGGGCTGCGGCATCTTGTCCTCACAGATGGGCAGGCTTAAGAGTTCAGAATGGAAAGTCCAAAGTGTCTGCCGCAGTACACAGTCGCTACTGAGTAACTCCAAGTTAAGATGAGAGAAATGCAAGTGTTCTTGCCAGAATTGGATTCCAGGAGGAATTTCCAAGGCCAACAGCACAAGGCCGTTTTTCCAGAAGGGAAAGTCCAAAAAGTGTGCAGTAGCATTACACTTCACACCGACCAGTTGCAACTGAGTGACTCCCAACCAGAAATGACAGAAATGCCACTATTTTTGCTGAAATTGGACTCCAGAAGGAGTGCGGTAGTACATGTACTCTTCACACTAAACAGTTGCAAATTAGGAACTTGAAGTAAAAAAAAGGAGAAATATTGAACCTTATTTTAATTTACAACTCAGAGTGAAGTACATGTACATGACGTACTGTCTTGTTGAAGGCTGAGACTAAAGTGTACCGGTATATTGGTATACATGTACATACATGTACTGGTGTGCATTATACACCAGGCAAGATATGGGATGGAGGGGTACCCCCCTTACACCTGTCCAATCCTATATACACTCTAGACTATTGTTACCTAACACATCCCCCCTAGAAGTCTGTAAAGAATTCCTGAGATTCCGATCAAACAATGACCAACACGAAGGCAGGGGGGGTTCTCTCCGTCCCATATCTTGCTTCAAATGGTGCATTATATACTCAAAAGGTACATGTACATGTGGCTTTTTGCTGTCAAAGAAAAGGCCTGTGGCATTAAATTGACATTTCACATTTTAGGTTGAACTAATGAAGTGATTAATTTATGCTTAAATATGCGTTCATGTGTATTTGTGCATGCACAAGTAGTCACATACATGTACATGTACGACATACATGTACATACATATATAGGCATGTATGCACTTGTAGCATGGAACTTTACATACATGTATCATCTATATATTTACATTTGTATTACATGTACACGAAACCTTGATTTGACCCATTGACTTTATGGTCTCAGATGGAAAGTAGGATACTGCATGTCTTAGCGGTAAATGTGTACTGAAGTCTAATCCCTGTATTACTTGGTGATGTTTCCATCAATAGCCCTGCATTACTGGGTGATGTTTCCATCAATAGCCCTGCATTACTGGGTGATGTTTCCATCAATTACATGTACATGTATGTGTAGACTGTGATATTCTCTGGATTAAAGGGCCCACTGTATGTCGACTCAAAACTTATTTTGAGGCTGTCACAAATGTCCGGTATCCCCTGTGGGCATTAAATACACAGGTACATATACTGTACATGACATGGGTACAGTACGGTACTTGTTCTTATGTGAGTCCAGTGCCACGACACTTGTAAACATCCCAAACATCTCTTCCCAAGCTTCATGGTCATTGGTCGAGCTCAAAAGCCTGTAAATGTGTTCAAGTACATGTACCGTACAGGATCAGTAAAATATACATGTACAATGTACTGATTGTCATGATCTGGTGTATTATGTCCGATGGTTTGCGGCAACTGATCCTCATTATTAATAAGTCCCCCTTTCTATGACTGAGCCTGAGGGTCATTGCATGTACTGCAAACTACATCCCTATACATGTACATGTAGATGCATGGATGTGTATACTATTGCTAGACAGTGGGAAATGGGTGTTTGGAACTGTACTGTACGGGTGTACATGTACATGTGTAGTGTACATTGTAAACAGCTTTCAAGTAATGTACGATACACTGTACATGAGACTGTACATACATGTACATGTACTGTACATCCTAGGAAGGTGAGGCATTGATACATACCGTACCTATAAGAAGTGCCAAAACTCAATTTGAAAATGTCAATACTGTGAAATGCAAAATGGCCCCATACTGCCATAGACCGGTAACGGTGTGTTACACATGTATGTCACCCGTGTGCTTTTTATTATCCCCGTAATCAGCCTTGAATTCTTCACTTTCAGTATAATTTTACCCAATCCCTGGTTAGTTTTTGCAGTTGTTAGTGAACTGACAATCAAACATTCGGATATTTGTTTTGTCTTTGTTTTGACAGCACATGAATGTTTTGAGGTTGGCCGCATTGCCTACAATGCCAATGATTTCTACCACTCAAGACTATGGATGCTGGAGGCATTGGATAGATTAGGAAGGAAGGACAGTCCAGACACAACCGTGGACAAGGCTGATATCTTAGATTACCTCTCATTCATATTTTACATGGTACTGAAGTATAATCCTATTATTCGTGAAAGTATTGTCAAACCACACTACTCATGAAACTGTCCATATACCATTTATCAGATGTATACTGTTACATGTATACATGTACAAGTTTTAGAAAACTATTTGGAAGACTTGTACAAATACATGCCACTGACTGGATTGGATTAGAATTCTGACAGTAAAGAACTACATGTACGGTAGCTCAGGTTTTCTGAGCGTGGTATTATGTTTGGACATAATCATGTTACTGTCAAACCCCAAAAGGCCCCAACATACAGATATATCCGGAAATATCAAAACTAAAATTAGAAATACATGTTTGATTGTGACACAAAGGTGCAATGTCAAAGATTTTTGTGAATTTTTTTGATTACCTGGTCCCTTTTAGCCCATTTGAAAGGAATTAATCTTTGGTGTTGAGTATAAGAAGCTTTTTATTGCCATTAGATGTAGGTGTTTCATCAAGTCACATCAACCTTTTTCTCAGTGTTACTAACATACATGTAGTCTATCTAATTATTTGTTTCACTTTGTCTGCAGAATGGTGATGTTGGCCAAGCTTTGGCATACACAGACCAGTTGCTGGCTATTGGTGAGTGCAGTGGTCACCGTTGTGGTTGTTCAGTTGTACATGTACATTGTATTTGACCATATTTACTAATTGAAGCTTTCTTGTTTTAAGTGAAAATGTTGTTAACCACTTTGTGCCGGGGCATTTTTCAATGTTGTTGATGCTGGGCCGGCACGAGTATCATTTTTTTCGTTTTCAAAATCCTTCAAAAATTCATCATTTCATTTAACGGTCGTTTATAGCCGCACGAAGTAATCTTCAGGCACTACTCTAAGTTGATAGGTGACCTTCATTGACACCCGAGTATTTCAGCCAGGCCTGCAGCCTTGTAAACATTTGGAAGAAGAAAAGCAAAGGTTTAACCATCGAATAACGCACCTCTGTTCAAAACTTGGCAGTGATAACTTTAAGTGTCGTAAATGTATAAGCCGTTATTCCCTAGAAAAGTACAGAGAAAGGTCCTTCATAAGTTAAATTCAGAGAAGTTGGGCCTTGAATTGTGTCTGAAATGTAGTTTTCAAAAATAAAAGCCTGTTGATTTAATTTTTATCACTTTTAACTTCATTCTGAGATAGAAGAGATAAACATAATCACATCATCATCTCTTCATTCAGAGATGTTAACCACTTCCTGCCGGGGCATTTATTAATGTTGATGATGCTAGGGCGGGATTGTTATCATTTTTTTCTGTTTTCAAAATTCTTTGAAAATTCCTATCTTCATTTACTGGACATTTACAAACACGCGAAGGCACGTCTGGTGTCCACTCTAGCCAGGCAGACAAAAAACTATTGATGCCTGAGTATTTCAGCCAGGCCTGCAGTCTTGTAAATTTAGCCCAGTTTTTGTGGTGTTACATAATATTCTTTTGTTCGCGAACCTGGCTCAGTGCACTGCTGACCTTTTCAATAGGGGCCAGATTAGCATGCAGCGGTGCTGCGTGGCTCATCGCTTCGGTGGTGGAGTGCTTTTGTCCCTGGTGGTAATCCGCTCGCTCTAAATGCCCCAAACTGTGGTATACTGTTTCAAAACAAGGCAGGATTATCTCCACTTTTGAGAGTGAAAAAATGTTGGTAATGCCCAGCAGCCTGGTCTTTTGTTCCGAGTACGGTCTTTTGTTACAAGGCCCTTTTCCCTTTGTCCGAGTTCGGAGACCCCGGCCACGCATATAAAGCATACGATCTAGAGTCCCCGGCAGGAAGTGGCTAAGAGATTTTTTGAATGAACCAACTGATTCGGACAACCTAACGCCAAGGGGGATTGCGTTCCACAGAACAAGAGCCACAGGTTGAAAAGATCTATTTCCAAAACCTTTTGTCTAAGTTCTTGGAACGGACAGGAGGAACTGATCTGCAGAATGCAAGGCCCTAGATGGTCAGTACTGCTGGATCAAAGAACTAATATAACTTGGTGTTAGTCCATGAAGTGCTTAATAAACAATCAATAAAATTTTATATTCCGCCCTATGGCAAACAGGTAACCAATGAAGTTGAGCTAAAATGGGTGTAATATGATCACGTCTACTTGTCTCAGTAATTATTCTAGCAGCTGTATTTTGAACTCGTTCAAGCTGATTCATAAGATCACCCCTCATGCCATATAAAAGGGCATTAGCATAATCAAACCT